TGCTCTGAGCTACTCATTGACATGGTTGATGCTGTCACATTAGGCTTTGACATACATTCTATCTTCTCGTGTATTTGGTTTGAATTGTGACGTCTAAGCAAAGTAAATAGCCTATATTGTGACGCCATTTCTCAGTTGTTTGATTTGTATGCCACATAGTGCAATATTGCTTAATTTTTCTCAAATATGTGTGCTTGCTTGACTTGAGAGTTGAACAAAACCGTTGTGATTGAGTCATGTACAATGTGTGTGTGAGGATTTGTGATCTTCTGTGTTATCCTGTGTAGTCTAGAACTTGCCCCATGTGTTAATCGATGCAAAATTGTAAGTTGTGCTAATTTAGGAGATGACGTATGCATTTCTTGCTTGGTCATGGATGTGCTTGTCACATACAAATAAAATTTTCCATTGCTAGCCCCTTTGAGCCTATAGACCTTTTCTTTGGCACCCACATTACAAGCCATACCCCTATTTTGTTCTTAATTTGAGATTGTTGAAAATTTACCTCCTAAGGCACTTAGTCGCTAAAAGAAGTAAAGTGAGATATTGGGGAGTAGTTGTTGAGTGGAACCTTGGAAAGGCCCGTTGGTTCACTAAAGTTGAATCAAAAGTCACTAGCCGATGAACTTTAATGTATGAAGTGTGTGAAGAAAAAGAAAAAAAATTAAAAAAAGAAGAAAAGACAGAAAAAATGCAAGAAAAGAAAAATTGATAGTGAAAGTATGTAGAAAAATAATACCTCCAATTCTTAATAATTTGTTCTAGTGGGAGTATAGAAGTGCTTAATTAAAGTAAGGGCTATGTTGCATATGGGTTGTGGCAAGTGAATTGGTTGAGAAGAATATGTGCTTGAATTGTGAATGTGGTGTATTAAAGTGTATAGGAGGGTTACTCACTATTTCTAAATGTATCATACCCGTCCCTTAGCCTACATTACAACCTTAAATTCCTAATTGGTCCTAGATTTGGCTACCTTAATTAGTAGAGATATACACTACAGGCAAACTTTTGGTACGACCACGGGATGCATATGAATTCCTTGTGAGAGTGAGCAAATTTTATTCAATTGTGTGATGTCCTTAATTTATATTCAAAAGCATATTTGAATGTATGGACTAATCTATATTCACTCTTTTGTTTGTTGGTGAGGGCACATGATCTCATGAATGATTGGTAACGTTGTAAACTTTCTTGTTGGGCGAGTACGTGAGTTGAGGGTGCTTAGTGGTTACAAGTCGGCTTTTGAGGTGGGTGTTGACAATAGGTTGTTGGAATTGGTTGAATTGAAATGTGATACTTGTGCATGCTTAAACGGGAAGAATGTGAAATTTTGTGTGTTCATGCTTGTGTGCCGGTATTGATCATAGTCAATGGTAGAGTGTATGATTAAAAGTTGAATTGCTCCTCTATAGTTGAGACTTGTACGTAGTTGGGGTTTATTTGATAGTCCCATTGCTTGAGGACGAGCAAGAGTCTAAGTGTGGGGTATTGATGTTTTGCTTAAAGTATATATATTTATATGTTTGTCGCCTCATATTTTACTTTTGTTTCGTGGATTTAGGATGTGGAATGTATTGATTTATATTACTTTGAGGTATTTTTATGTGTAGGAATGATCCAGGAGCAATCGGGGGCGAAATGTGCGAAATTAGAGCCAAAACGGACGAAAACATGAAATTGGGACATTGCAGCGCCACAGTCAGCGCCTTGAGCTACCTGTGGCGCCAAAACCAGTAGCTAAAAATTGGCAGCGCCATTGAGGGTGCCCAACGCTGGGCAGGGCGCCGTTGGCGTGAACCTTCTCCAAATTCGTCCGAGACATGGTTATTTCGGCCCTAGACCCAGCACGTATAAAATCAAGACTAAACTTATTGGTGAAGGGGTGACTCCACTTTGGAGGAAAAATACACACGAGAAACATTCGGAAGCGGAGAGATCTCGGTTTTCTTCATCTTTTTCTAGTATTTTCAATTATTCAACACTGATGAAATTGTTTGCTATTATCATGAGTGGCTAAAAATCCATTGTTCCGGGGTTGATTTAGCCATGAATATTGTTGTTTAACATTGACATAACCTTGATTATAATTCACTACTATATGGTTGTTTCTTCAATTCTGTAATTAATTGCTTAATTGTCTGGCCAGCAGTTAGGTTCTATTTACTATCTATGCTATGCTTGGGAAAGCCGTGTTTAGATTAGAGAAGAATTGAAAAGAGCACGATCTTAACTCTTAGGGGGGACAGATTTGTAGTTAGGATAGGAATATACCTAGTCATCGTGCTTAATTAAATATCATAATCTTAATGCGTTCTTAATATATTGATTTCATAGGAATATAGACGTTAATCTATTTAGAATAGGCGAGTAGTACTTCGGGAGAAGGCTATGAGAGCAATTATCGATTAATTAGCAACCATGAGTGAGTAGTACGAAACGGAGAGTTAACTAGAACACAATAGGATTGGTGAATCAATCACAACCCTATAATATTAGTCTCTATTGAATACATAACAAGCATTTTACTGCTTGATAATTTAGTTTTAAATTAGAATTATAGTTTAGTATAATCACATTTTTGAACTTGATTTTGGCTTGACTGAATAACAATCTTGGTGATTTTAGTGGATAGTTGATACAAGTCTCTGTGGGTTCGACACTTAACTTATATTTTATTCCATAAATGCTGGAATCTTTACTTATTTAACACTAAATATCTGGTCTTCACGCTGCTAAAGTTCTCCTTATTTGTTTAAGTTTGAAACTATACATCTATCTTTGCACACAAGCAAATTATGTTAATTTTATTAGCAAAATTGTTTGAAATAGAATAATGTTCATCGTCTATCTTATAACACTAGGGTGACAAAAAAAAGTAAAAGTTTATCATCACGAAATATTTTTAGATCTTCCCTTTAAAATTTTAATCATTCTTCATTTAAATTTTGTTTCATTGTGGACACGCTAAGGCGAAGAATAACATTAAAAGGAAGAGACGACCCAAAAAATATTTTCTGGAAAATATTTTTTAATTTTCACATGTTTGATTGGCTTAAATGTTTTGAAAAATATTTTTCTCATGAACTCATTTTCCTCCAATTGGAGGAAAATGTTTTCCCTATCAAGAGATGGGAAAGTATTTTCCAAAACTCTTTTCCAACCTTCCTCCCATTTCCCATCCCCACCAATCCTCACCAACCCACCCCCACCCCACCTCCCACCCCACCCTCACTCCCACCCTAAATAGAAATATTATTAATAGTACTTTCTTTTCATGTTATAGATAGAGTATTTTTTTTCATTTCAACAAATAGATATTTTCGTTTACGATATAATTTTTTTTATTTTAACAAAAAATGTACTTTCTTTCATGATGTAGAAAAAATATTTTCTTTCATTTTAACAATATAATGTAGTAAAAAGTATTTTCTTTCATTTCAACACAATGGTGTACTAAAAAGTATTTTCTTTTATTTCAACAAAAAAAAATTTCTTTTCATGATTTAGAAAAAGAATTTTCCTTCATTTCAACAAAAAGGGTATTTTCTTTTCATGATGTCGAAAAAGTATTTCTTTTGTTTCAATAAAATGAATAATTTATTTTCATGTTGTAGAAATAGTACACTCTTTTTCAACCAAAAAAAGAATATTTTTTAGTTATAGAGCATAAATTTCAATATTGTTTTTGCGTAAAAGAGTAAAGTAACACATTAGTTCCTTTGGGTTCGTGTGAATTTTTAGAAGAATAAATTCGTGAATAAAATAAAGTCATGAAAATATTAGGTATTTGGAGAAACCAAACAAGAAAAAATAAGGAAAATATTTTCCTGCATGCCAAACACACCCTAAAAGGAAAAGAAAAAAGGAAGGAAAACGTGAAATATTTTGAAGTTTTATTTTTCTTGTCCAAAGACGGTGTGGGACCATGTGATGACACAGATGCTTCATATATTGTCAGCGAAATTAAAAATCCTTTATATCATTTGCAAAACAAAGGGTAAAGTTATTTCATATTAATAGGCAATTTAGCCCTTTTATCTTTATAAAATATTAAAATAGTAGGAGTAGTATATATATATCCATCCAAATTGTAGATGGTAGGGGTGTTCATGGTTCAGTTTGGCTCGATTTTTTCATAAAAAGAAACCAAACTAAGTAAGTCGGTTCTTAAAATGTTGGAACCAAACCAAATCAATTAAGTCGGTTTTTTAGAGATTCGATTTTGTCGGTTTTTATCTGTTTTTCAGTTTTTTCGGTTATTTATCGAGTTTTTTAAATTTTAAATATGAGATATACACTACCAAACATATATTATGGCAACTACATTTTTAACGTAATACTATCAAACCAATTGCTCTTTGAGAAATCTATCATTTACCATGATATACAACAGCAACAACAATAACAACAACATACCTAGTATAATCCCACAAGTGGAGTCTGGGGAGGGTAGTGTGTACGCAAACCTTACCCCTACCTGGCGAGGTAACCGAATTTACCATGATACATTGATGATAATTGAATCAAATAGTGATGAATAATTTAAGTACTCAATTAAAAATCGATTATTTGTAACATGTAATAATTCTTGTACTTAGCAAAAGCAAACAACCAATCAAACTAGGATGTAAAGGCAAAGAATTAGATTATTATAATAGCAAAGAACTAGACATAAAACACAAACGATTAATAGGTACCATAACATTTTAGAAACTTTACATAAAAATATACCTATATGTAGGTGTAGTAATAAATTTAAATAGCTACTTCTATGGTCAGTTTGGTTCGGTTTTTTTCAGTAACTTTTTGATTAAAACCAGAACCAAATCAAATTTTAATTGGTTTTAAAAATTCAAAACCAAAATCAAACCAAACCTAAAATGTATTTGGTTCAGTTTTTCGGGTTTACGAACACCCCCTACAAATGGGTAATAAATTATGCAAAACAATCAAAGTATAGTTGGGAGTAATAAATATATATAGGTTCTGTTTGGAACAGAACACAGTCACAGTACGTTTTAAGCCTTTCCCCCTGCATCCACATCGTTCTCATCGAAAACTCATCACTCCATCTTCCCTTCTCCGCCACACCCCACCCCCCACCACCCACCCCCACCATAACCATAACAATGCAAGCTCTTCAATCTTCATCCCTCCGCCCATCTCCACCCACCCATCCATTCCTCAAATCCACCACCCACCAATTCACCAATGTAAATCCATTGAAACCCAAAAAACTCACTCCATTTATCTCAGCTTCATCAGCTCCCACGCGCGAGAAAGACCCGAAGAAGCGCGTGGTCATAACTGGGATGGGCCTTGTTTCTGTTTTTGGCAATGACGTTGATGCTTACTATGATAAATTATTAGCTGGTGAAAGTGGGATTAGTCTAATTGATCGATTTGATGCCTCGAAATTCCCAACCAGATTTGGTGGACAAATTAGAGGGTTTAAAGCTGAAGGTTATATTGATGGTAAAAATGATAGAAGGCTTGATGATTGTCTTAGGTATTGCATTGTTGCTGGTAAAAAAGCTCTTGAAAATGCCGATCTTGGTACTGACAGAGATAAAAAGGTTTCACTTTTTCACATTTTTGTTTATTTCAAATAATTTTTTTGTGCATGTAGTTTTAAGTTCTTGAAATTGTTTTTAATACTTAAATTGAGATAATAAGGGGTTTGCTGTGGCATGTTTTAAATGAGAACTTATGGACTTTGGTTGTTCATATATTTAGATTTATTGCATTATTTTTCTGTTTTGAGTGAAGTTGATTTCATTTTTTTGAGGTCCTCATTATCAACTTTCTCTACTTGGTGATTGCGGACAACTACTGGAGCTTTTTAATTTTTCAGCTTGAGCTCTGGTAGTAGTAGCTAATTTAGTTATATATTCTTATTAATAATTCTCTGATAGTTAAAAAAAATATCTGATAGTTCTTTTATGATGGTAAAGCCGATAAAAAATCTATCTATATTCCATAAATGGATTCAGTTATATTTTAACTTATTACATGTTCCGTCTTCTCTTCACTTTTGTTTTTAAGATGCTATGTCTATTTGAACAATAAGCTAGTACTCATTCAGGGAACAATAAGCGGGCCTGGACACCACGGTTATCAAAGAATTTTTTTATAGCATATATGGTTAATGTTTCTCTCCGTTGTTTCATTCCTCACCCGTTTGTAACTCTAGGTACTACATATACCTCCATTATGCGGCTACCGTAAAGCTTGCTCTTGATCAGCAAACTAGGGCATTAGAATCGCGGAGATTGGATCTGAGGCTCCAGTAGAACTTCCTTTGGTTCCTTATTCTCCCTTACTAACAAACCATGTACTTGCTAGTTAATTGGTGCTATTCTTGTCCATGAATCTTCCCAGAATTTTAGAACTTTGCCGTTGTTTTGTCCTCCAGTTTTGATGTTTTTTAAATATTTGATATCTATGGTATATGGAACAAACTCCAGTTGCAGTGATTTCGGCACTCCATGAACTTAAATGCAACAACATCCTCTGTTCTCTTATCTTTTGAATATGTGCTTTGACATCTTTTTTTCTTTTTTCTCCCTAGGCTTTCTGTGAGTGATTTAAAATAGTAAAATACTAACCGTCTTAGTGATGCAAATTTGTCCGTCATTGATTCTTTTAGTTACTGCATTTGAAAATCATGAGTCTTACTAGTCTGCAGACCTTTTTTGTCTGGATTTGTTTCTTTTTTTGCAGTAGGGGACGGGATTTAAGATCTTTAGTTCTATTCTGACTGCAGATCAATAAGGAGCGAGCTGGTGTTTTGATAGGAACAGGAATGGGTGGTCTTACAGTTTTTTCAGATGGCGTCCAAGCCTTAATCGAAAAGGGTCACAGGAAAATTTCTCCATTTTTTATACCATATGCCATAACAAACATGGGTTCGGCCTTGCTTGCAATTGATGTTGGTTTCATGGGACCAAACTATTCAATTTCAACTGCTTGTGCTACCTCCAACTATTGTTTCTATGCTGCTGCAAACCACATTCGTCGCGGTGAAGCTGATTTGATGATAGCTGGTGGAACTGAAGCTGCCATGATTCCCATTGGATTAGGAGGTTTTGTCGCATGCAGAGCTTTGTCTCAAAGAAATGATGATCCACAAACTGCTTCTAGACCGTGGGACAAAGATAGAGACGGCTTTGTTATGGGAGAGGGAGCTGGAGTTTTGGTAAGTTTGCTCAAGTGTTGATTAAAAGTTTGATAACAAGAAAGATCATTTAAGCTTTTTATCCACTTTGAACCAATGTTATATGTAGTCTATCGTACTCGTTTTAATAATTAATATTTCTATCCTTCATTAAGTAATTAAATATGTTAAGAAATTAAACATCAGGCCTTAACTCAACCCCAACACTTAGCACATGAGGTGAGGATTGCCTAAGTGCAACGATACAAAAACCTATTTCCTCCACCAATGTGGACCACTTGACGTAAAATACCAACCAAAAATTCGTGATTGCTCTTTCATTGCATGGTGGAGAACAGTTTTAGACAAAGTACTGCCATAATATATCACTCTCATACAACATGATCGATCACCTTGGAAAGACATAATGACAATTGGATGCAATTGTTGACAGGTGATGGAAAGTTTGGAGCATGCAATGAAACGAGGAGCACCCATAATTGCAGAATATTTGGGTGGTGCAGTAAACTGTGATGCTTATCACATGACTGACCCCAGAGCTGATGGACTTGGTGTTTCTTCATGTATTCTTAGCAGCCTCGAAGATGCTGGAGTGTCACCAGAAGAGGTATTTTTTCTTTTGTTCTTTCACTCATTTGATGTTCTACTTTTGCTATGTCCACTCAATAATCAATGAAAAATTGTAACAGATATTTCATCTCTTGTTTCTTAGATAAGTAAATAAGGTTAAAATAGGGAAACCTTTGTATATAAACGGTAGATAAAGAGAGCAGCCTAACAAGAAAGATAGATTCCAAATACCATCCTACAATCTCTTGGAATCAATTTGAACTTACTTGAGAACAGAACAAATAGGAAGCAAGCAATCCATATACGACACCAACAAGTTAAGGTTAAGTTATTGCACTTATGTTAAATAAATACAAGTTCGGTGTTTACCGGGGGTATTTTTAGGTTTGTTAAAGCTTGTTATGTCAACATAGGAATAAGTACAATGAATAAATATACTTCTGGAGATCCGCTAATATTTCTTACATCACAAAATATTTAGTATTGGAATGAAATGAGACCCAATAGAGCGTGCCGGATATAGAAGATTGTGCCTAACCTCAAATGTATGGGATTTAGGTATAGTTGATTGACCCTCGACTCTTCATCAAAATCAACTGTTGCTCCTTTGATAACTAAGTATTACATCATTATCCATCCGATTGATCTCTGCTTGAATTTGATGTAGCATAAAAAATAAGGGGGAAACGGGAGAATAATAGAGAGAAATAGGAGAAATGAGAGAAAGAACTAGGAGAGAAATAGATATATCAATTCATAAGGTATTATTCGTGAAGTGTTACTCAAGTTTTCTATGAGTACGCAATGGTCATATTTTATAGAAAAAGGAATTATTAGTAGTTAGAACTCTAGAAATAAATGCCTGTATCTGTAATTAGGAGACAAAAGCTATTTTTGACTGCTACATAAAACTCTATCTCTATCTGAAAGATAAGACAATCTCTAACTAATAGATTTATCTCATCTCTAATATTATCTTTGATCTATTTCGAACTAAAAAGTAAGGAGGATAAATAAATATGAAAGAGAATAGTACCACAATATATTATTTAGCTATATTAAAATATCTGAATCACCTGTGCAAACGGCAGTATCTTTGTGGGTTGCACTTAGGGAAGCCCCTATTAAGCCAATAATAAGCTGTTTACAACCAAAATCTGGGCCGAAAGTGTCTAGTTATCAACCTAGCTCACTACCATCAACTTCTTTCTCCAGATTGGTCTTGAGCCACGAACCTTCTTTAAACAATAGTGAACACCCATAAGATAATGACGATTACTCAGAATCAGCATCACAGAGAAACAGGGTGTCAACAGCAAACCATAAGCGAGCAGGAAAATGCAACTCCATCCCTCCTTTTGTTCTAAATTCCCTGATATAATCTCCTCTTCTTTGTGTTGTCCAATGTTTTCCTCAAAGCTTCCATGATGAGGATGAAGATCATCCGATCAACCGTCAGCATCAGCAAAATGGATGTCTTTGCTAGCTTTCGCAGAAACTGTTAAGAATTGTCATTGATATGAAAAATAAAAAGTATTGTGGCTTGATCCTCCTCTACTTTCTTCCCAATCTCATCTTTTGTTGCAGTCAAGGAAGCTTAATTCACATGGTCATAGTGTTCTCCAGATTGAGCTTTAATGGAACCCCAGACTATACCCTCCTTTACTTTCTTAGTTATTGCTGAAACAGTCAAGATTGTAAGTCCTGTAGTCCTTTTTAAGATGCTTATTTTTTGGTCCCACTGCACCTAGTATTTGTGATGTTCATGGACAATAATGAATAGTGAATTTACTTGGTCAGTTGCAATGGTATTGGTCTTTTACTTGTACTTTTAAAGAGATCGAAAACAGCCTCTCCACCTTCTCAAGGTAGGGCTAAGGTATACGTACACATTACCCTCCCCAAACCTCACTTGTGGGATTACACTGGGTTAATTGTTGTTGTACTAGTACTTTTAAAGAGACGGAGGTACAAAAAAATTACAAAGTTTGAAGTGCAGTCGTTCAGTTGGTCATTTAGATCTTTGTTCAGGATGTCGTCTAAGTTGTCAATTAGAACCTTGTTTAGATGGTAATTCAAACATTAGATGTTAGTCATTATTTGTGAGGAATAGATAATATAATGGTTAAACTGTTCCTAAAAGTTTGGTAGTTGAGTTGCTTACTTACCTATTCAAAAAAACAAAGGCTTGGTACTTGTGTTTGATAATCATCTGGTCTCTCCGTTTCGTTTATTTTCAGGTTAATTACATAAATGCTCATGCAACTTCCACCATAGTTGGTGATCTAGCTGAGGTAAATGCTGTTAAGAAGGTATTCAAGAACCCTTCAGAGATCAAAATGAATGCAACCAAGGTAACTTTCTCTAAATTGTAATGCCTGTATTAGTCATTTCTTTCAGTGTTGACTTTATTGAAATATTGAGAAAAAAAATTTGATCCTTTAAAATTGTCATTTTCCGTTCTTCCAGTCCATGATAGGCCATTGCCTGGGTGCTGCTGGTGGCCTGGAAGCTATTGCAACAGTTAAAGCCATTACAACTGGCTGGCTGCATCCTTCCATAAACCAATTCGTATGTCATTTTCTCTTTGGGAACTTGCATTCAAATATCGGCTCATATGCTCATTCTTAATTGCAAATCTCCTGTTTTTGTGAACTATGCAGAATCCCGAGCCTTCAGTTGAGTTTGATACCGTCGCAAACAAGAAACAGCAGCATGAGGTCAATGTTGGTAAGATAATCTTTTTTTTAGATAGATGGAATAAAAACTCCGAGAAATAGTTGAACTTCTCGCAGCTTCTAAAATTTATGCTCAAAAGTTTTGCTAACATTTGTTTTCCATCTGCAGCAATATCAAATTCGTTTGGTTTTGGTGGTCACAACTCCGTTGTCGTTTTTTCTGCATTCAAGCCCTGATTTCAGCTTTAGTATAGCAAGAGCATCCTTCTGCTTCTGAGGCTTAATTTAGTGTGACATTGAGGCTGCTTCATCTAATCACAGCAATTGCTAAGCAACTGCAATTTAAGTTTTAATTTTTTGGCTTTTTGTTCTTAGCGATGAGTATTTCAACTTTTGCTTGTCTTTTTTTACCTCTTTAGCTTATTGGATGTTTTCAAGGCACAGTTTTGAATTATGTAAGAGCTATAAAAGACACAATAGTCTTTTGAGATTGAGAGATTGTCAAACATTGATTTTCCCGTTCATAGCATTTTTTTGGTTTCTTGCTACTGCCTTCATTCATCAAACACCAGAAAAAGACATTCCAACATTTCAAGTTTCAACAGGAAACCCCACAACATTTCAATAATTGACCCATAATTTGTAGTGGTCTATCGGAAACAGCCTCTCTACCTTCATCTTGTGAAGGTAAGGTCGTGTACGGTACCCTCTCTAGAGCCCACTTGTGGGATTACACTGGGCTTGTGGGATTACACTGGGCTTGTTGTTGTTGTACCCATAATTTGTAGTCTACAAAGGTTAATATGATCATAATGACGTTCTAGCCATATCCTTGTGTGTATATCTACATTTTTTCCAACCAGAGCACATGAAAGTATATTGTGGATAAGTAACAAGGAGACTCGCAAGGCCTAAAGCTTTTATTCTTTTTGATATCATGTTGAATTGGATAAACCATCATGTGTAATTTTTCCTATCACAGGTTAATCTTGTGAGTTTGCTATAAACTTGTTTGGTTGATGGATGAATGGTGATTAAGATCACGATGATTTTTTCGTTCCTTACTTGGTATTTGATTCTTGTTTTGTAGAAGGAAACAAAAAAGTAAATTTGGTGGTAATAAATACCTTTAAAGTTTAGAAAGGAAGAGCTTATTCTAGTATCAGTTCAGAGTTTTGGTGCTCAAGTATCAAAGATAGAAGTCTAACTAAGAGGTCGAATATGGCTCAACTAGTACTATGAGTTAGTCTATGTATTCATAGATTGTTCCACATGTATGGTGGGAGGAGGGATACGTTCGAACACCAATGAAGTACAAACTCTGGTATTTTAAGTAGAAGAAAGGGTAGAGGGGCGAGCCTATACTTTCATATCATTATCGTCAATCTAGAATATAAACTTTATGTGTTCAACCTTTAAAGTTTTTAGCATTTGAAATATTATGCGGTCATATGTGTTATTTATTGTAATTTTAGTGAATTTTGTAAGTTTATGCTCCGCGTTGAAAGTTATAGGTTCGATTGTACCCGCAGCTTAAATGCTACAGTCGCCCCTGATTGTCGTTGCAATGTTTGATTAGCGGTATTCATTACCTTCATTTCTTCACGTATATTGTATTTATGTGTTTATTGTATTTTCCTTCATTTAAATGCACTGACTTCATGTTTTTGTGATTGTACAGTTGTTAACAGGCTTATAAATGATACATATGTTGTCATATTGTAGTCTTTAGAGAAGCCTAAAACTTGGAAATATAAAGTAGCTTGCTTCGAATATTTGATAGCCCTCCAATTTTTATTACCCAGAAAAAGTAGTTGGCAGACCTTGACAGCTATCCCACATCGCTAATTTAGAGTTGAACTATGGGTTTATATAGAAAAAATAAATCCCTTTACAATGTGTTCGTAAAAAGGAGAGACGGTTGGCATCTCCCCTGACAGGGACGGGAACAGTCTTCGGACTTTACCTGTTATCAGACACATCCGGTTAAGGCTTCCCACTTCGGTGGATCTTACCCAATTTTTTCGACATTTTCAAAAGTTTAATCAACTTTTTACTTCCTTTGGATCCAGATTAACCATGTCCAAACTCCTCTAGCTTTCTCTTTGGTGTTACTTTTTACGAAAAAGGGCCCAATATGCCAGTAAATTATATGAAATTGTACACATCTGTCCATCGTTAAAAGGTGGACTCAGTCTTGTCCGTGCTGTACATAAGTTGGGTCACATATGCCTTATATTTAATAGACTTCCCCAAACCCACAGGCATATAAGGCATACAAGTCTGTTAAACATAAGGCATATGTGACTCAACTTATGCACGACAAGGGCGTGACTGAGTCCATCTTTAAACGACGGATAAATATGTACAATTTCGTATAATTTACTAGCATATCTGGCCCTTTTCCGTACTTTTTATATCCACTTTCCACTTTTTACTATTTGTTCCCCCTTCAATCTTCCTTATTACCTTCTTGACATTTGCAAAAGTTCAATATCTATGTCGAAACTTTTTACTACCTTTGTATCCAAATTAATCATATCCAAACTCCTAATTTAGCTTTCTCAGTCAAATCGACAAGTTTGTTACACAGTTTGATCAAAACCTGTTGATGAAAATAATTCTCAGTTCTGATAAATGTGATTCGCATGATCATCAAATTTCAGAGAAAGTTAAAATGTATAGTAATATTGCCGAAAAGGCCTAATTTTATTAACATACTCTTCATTGAGTTTAATGCGAAAATGTCTTAGGTAAACAACTATTTATTCAAGGTGAATAATATTAAACTCGCCATAATATAATAGTTATGGTATCACCAATGCGACGAAAAAAACCATTTATGAAAATATGTAAAATAATTTTCGACAGACAAAAATAGTTGTGAATATTATTGGGAGGGTGATGGTACCAAGATGGCTCAAGTGTTCTGGCCACTGTGCTGCAGCAACATAAAACTAAGAATTGTGCAACATAAAAGACATTGGGATGTATAGCTAGGATTCCAACAGTCCAAGCAAACAAAATACCAAACTCGAAACAGAATATAGAAGTCTGATATCTGATAGTCATTTGATCACAACAAAAGTAATTTCTCCTCCCCTGTCCAAGTGAATGTGGAATCCACTAGTCCAGAGCACCAAAATTGCAGTAATTTGAAATTGCCACTCAATCCAAGTAATGAACAAAGATGTTTTACATAAACAAGTTAGGCCTGGTAGCCTTATAGGTCGTCTTGAGTTTCCTTGAAGGTGGCCTGACTTTCTTGAACACCAACGGGAACTTGATTTTGGAGTCATGGAACTGCTTTGTGCTCTCCCGCTTGCAAAGCTTAGCTGGAATAGTGGCAGTCTTGATGATCTGGATGCAGTGATGGCGGACCCTGTGGCGAGAAGCCATCTCAGTGTACATCTGTTCCACGCCACCATTCAATGTGGTGTCACGGTACTCCTTGTACATGTTGTGATATCCAGTTCTGCTTTGGTAACGCAGCCAAATACCATAGTTCTTGATTTTTGTTGGGTTCTTCTCAAAAATCTACATTAGAAAAGCACAAATCTCAATAACAAGGTTCAACACCAATGTCAACGGATAAAATAAAACCAGAAAAGCACACAACCACACAGCGAAAAAAATGTAGAATGAACATATATGAAAAAAAGAAAATAGACGATTCTTAGCAACCACTACAAGTTCATAAAGATTATTGCTATGTCCAAATTGGGAAGTAAACCATCTTTTTTCAGGAGAGACTAAAGGAATGGATCATGTGGCAACACCATGAAAACTAAACCATTTTCTTCTCTAGAAAACACTGTGAGAAGTAGCTTATCAATAATAAAAGAACTACCATGAGAAGTAAACCATTTTGAATATCGCTCCAAATTACAGACAAAGAATTAGGGAAAGAAATTTGTATCTCCAGGAATAGGTGCTACTAATAAGCAAATCCAGTGGCTATTTAAAAAGTTTGCAAAATATTCTTTTTCTTTGCATTTTGCAATTTTACTGTATGTACCTCTTTTGATTTACACCTTCTCCTCTTATGTTTTATGATTTGCCTCCTGACCTATTACACTCTTGTATCTTTTTTATGACGATTTGCCTCTTGACCTATTACTTCTTTTTAAAACTACAAAAGAGCTCATATTGAAAGGGTAAATAGAAATGAGATGATTTAGCGCATACATGGAAGTTGAAGATGATAACTAGATATCTTGTTCGAAAAACTGAGAAACAACATAACACCATTGGACCACATGCTAAGACTACCATTAACAAGACCATACAAACCTTAATAGGCAGACAAATGGGCAATTTTACCTAGGCAATCCCCACAAACCAGATTACTTGGAACCTACTATTCATGCTTCACGACGGATTAACAAAAACTTACACTTTGGAAAACCCGCACGAAAAATTAACCATAAACTCTTTTTTATCAACGGTACAAACTAACCAAAAACTCCAAGAGTAATAACTTGGGACTGGAAAATCAAATAAGCAACAGCATATCAAAATTTGCTATCATTACATCCCAATGATACATTCTATCACAGACAACTCTAAAAACCCGTAAATTTTAAGAAATGATCATACCTCATTAATAGCTAGCATCTGACCGTTGCTCTTCTTCACCTTCTTTAGCTTCCTCAAGTAGTACCTTTTTCAGCCAAATCAAAAACAACAATCATTCCTTACACACACACATACACACTCCGTATCTTCCATTTTATATGACATTATTACTAGGTATGAACTATTACTCCCTCCGTCCCAATTTATGTAGCATACTTTTATTTTTATTCTGTCCCAAAGAGAATCGCATACTTATTTTAAAACAATTTAAACTTAAACTTCCTATTTTATTCTTAATATGATAATTTATAGCAATAGAAATGTCTATGTTTTTTCCAAGCAACAACTTTCAAAAGTATTTATTTATTTCCGTGCACAGTCAAACACCGCCACATAAATTTGGATAAAGGAGTACCATTTTGGGCGAGGGGACGATCTTATCATACATTTTGTTAGAAAAATACACACACATATATAACTACAATTAATAAGGGAGAGAGAGAGAGAAGTGAATACCAGAACTTGGACTTGGCACGGACCTCATTGGTAGCCCAGAGCTTCATACGGTAAATCTTAGGGTGCTCATCGTTTTCTGTCGGCAGAGCTCTACCTACAACCTGGTACTGATGGAACTACAAAACAACAATAATAACAACAAATCCCATTAATTTACTATTACAACAATTTAATAAAAAAGGAAACACAATTGTGAATCTCTGATACTAACTTTGTATGTCACCATTTCTGGGTCTCTGTCTCTCCCGCTGCTCTGTGTTGTCTGAATATTTGGGAGGCGTCGGGGAAAAGAAAAAGTGAAGAAAAACGCAGGGGTTTTTATATTTAAGGGCTTCCTAACAAACCCTAGTCCTAAGGTTGCAAATGGGCTGTCTAGACTGGACAGACCCACGTTAACTTTTTTTTGGGCTTTAAAGTAGGGGTTCTTACGGCCCAAAAGAACTAGTTGTCATATATTGACACAAAAAGGTGAAAATAGCACTGTCAGTTTTCGGACTGATAATTAAAAAATAGCTAGCATTTGTAAAGTTATTAAAAAATAGTCACTATTTTGCCGCAACACGAAAAGTTCCAGCATAATATACTGGAGATTGGAGCACCTATGAATATGCTGGAGCTCTAGTATATTATGCTGGAAGTTCACATGTAAAAAATTGAACTCCAGTATATTATGCAGGAATATTTTTCTGGTTTTGAACAGTATTTTCGTTCAGATTCATTTTTATATGAAAAGTAGCTAAATTTCAATTACTTTTAAAACTGTTTTTTCAACTACCACTTGTAAATCTGGCTATTTTTGAATTTCACCCCACAAAAGGGACTTTTTGGGGCTGATCTTGAATTTTATTCCCATAATTAATAACTTTGGGGAATGGCCCTATATGTACAGACTCAAATTTAATGAAATAAATTTAAACTGTATCGTGCACAAGTTATGAAAAATTTGTAGTATTTCATGTTATATTCAAACTAGTTATCCAGTTACATAATACACAAACTATACTAGGTTGTCATAATTCCAAAACTACGAATAAAGAAGATAAAATATATTCCATTCTTTTCAACCTATTTCCTTTTTAGTTCATGCCGAAAAGAATGACCCCTTTTCCTATTTGGAAATAATTTACCTTTATGCCATGATTTGTAGCCACACAAAATATATGTGCCTCATTTTGCACTACAAGTTCAAAAAGCTTCTCTCTTTTCTTAAACTCTGTGCCCAGTCAACTGAGTTTACATAAATTGAACCGGAAGAAGTATATTTAAAAGGGTAGCATGCAAGTTATTAGAAAACGGTAGAACTTTATTCTTTATTCAACTTTTTCTTTTTCGTAGGAAAGATAACTTGCATTTAGCTATAATGAAAGTTGCGTACAGAGAGGGTGGTGGTCAGGTCGCACCATAGTACAATTATGATAACAACTACTACAAACAGTTAAAGTGGAGTTAATTTGGGTCCCTATTGGGATTAGTACAAAAACTCGAATTACTGGGATAAACTTGATATGTAGAACCAGTTGTCAAAAGAGTAGACACAATAGCAAAGGCAGTGCTCGACGGGTGAACAAAACTTGATGATGTAGCTTGGATGTCCGATGCAGGCCATGCGAGAGGTGAAGCTCATTTGAAACTTGAAACTAGTCATTCCACCTATCTATCTTGTTGAAGTATAGATAGGATATATTTATATCCTACTCCCTCTTTTTATCTTACTAGCTTTAGAGTACGCGCACCCTAACTAAACGAATAAAAGTTTTTAAAATATTATGCAATATTCCTTCTTACAATATTGAATGAAATAATTTACCCTCGGTAAAGGATCTAGTGTAGTGGATGGGGCTGCTCCTCCCTTAGCCAGAGGTCTCGAGTTCGAGTTCTGGGTATGGAAAAATCCTTGGTAGGGAGCGCCTATCTGGCGCGAATCCGGATTAGTCGGGCCCCAATGTGGATACCGGATACCGGGTGAGAAATTAAAAAAAAGAAATAATTTACAACATGTGACACATGATCGGACAGTGGACTCTCTCTATGATGGTTCTTTTTTGTGTATAGTTGTGATGACTCTTTTCACATAGGCACCTGGTTTTCTTTTTCAAGAAGTCAATTCACAATTATCTTTCGTCTTAAATTTCTCAAAATTCATCTTGATGCTTTAACTGGGAATTGATCGTCATATCGTGAGATATTAAATTTTCTAGTTTAACAATAACTTCATCATCTTTAAATTGAATATGTAGATCACCGTCAACCAATTTAAACAACCAGCGAATGCAACACATTGAATTAGCTATCATCAAACTAACACAAAGCATGAAGTTTTGCTTACATTGTATATGTGATGTACCTGAATGCATATGGCAATCGACAAAAAAAAAAAATTCAAGACCTAATTACGTAGAAGAATAAGACAAATTACATAATAATGCACTCCATAAGTTGACCTTGCATTATTTTAGCCCACTTACAAGTTTGCAAATGTGTAGCCAAATATCAATAAGCTTAGATCTGAATTTTTTTAGCCCACTTAGAGATGCCTTCCGATAAAACTTTTCAGAACTCCAAAGCATCCTGCACGATACAATCTGGTGTGTGGGGAGGAAAAGGGCGGATTCAACAAACCCTTCCATACACAGGTCAAAAACATTTAATGGAGGTTATTAACATCCTGATAGCTTTCTCAGCTTACCTTCTTCACCTATTGAAATCTCCATTCTTAGCTAAGATATAAAGGTCATTGCCTCATCCTTAATATGTCTTTTCTTTCTCCAAGGCAAAAAAAATTCAACACTATCTTCCTTCACTGCTAGAAATACGATCCAAACTCAAAAGGGATACCCTGTCCAAATAAGGTCGTCCAACTTATACTAAGATTTGCATTAATCCAATAATATTGCATTAAAGTCTAGATGCTCATCCATATGGAAGCAATATGCTCATTCAGTGTCAAAGCACTCCTGAATAGAATAGCAATAATTATTGNGTCCGCACGGATTTGTCTAAGAGATGAAATACTAGTAGTAGGTTCACTTGCATGTGTCGATTTTGCGTTTTTGGGTGGTGATTTTGGTGTTAAAACACCCAAATCAAAGGATGGGATATCAGCTAATGTAGCTTTTGAAGCTTTTTTTTGTGAGTGTTGATTTTTTTCATGATTTGGGACTTGAAAAAACAGATGCAACTTCAAAATAGGATTTTGTGAAATTAACTGGAGAAGAAAATTGTAGAATCGTGGGTAACTGATGGTAAACGTGGGTGAGAGGCGAGTATACGAAAATGGGGGAATTAACTGAAGGTAAAACGTGGGGGGTGTGGGGGGTGGGAGGAGAGAGAGGCGGGTAAACGAAAATAGGAGAATATACGCTCCTAAATTAACGCCTAATATAAATGAAGCATTAATTATACCCTCAATTTGAATTATGGTATATAAATGGTAATTTGGTATGCTGAAATGTAATTAACACAATCCTTAAACATTGAGGGTAATAAGGTTTCATATATGGTATACGAAGATAAAAATCCCATTTTGCAATGACCAAGTAGATCCACAAACAATGGGAAAAAGAAAAACTTAGATCCACAAACAGTTTTCCTTATTCCAATAACTACCAATTAATCTACCATAAGTTATTATTAAAAAAAACTCCTCTTAAGGATCAAACCGCAGCACAACAGATAAAGACAAGGACAATCTGAACATATTCTGACTTTTTCGATCCACAAAATCAGTCAACTCTTCCCCCGTAACGCCGGCAACCGTTACTCATCCAATTGTCCTTAACCCCATAAAAATTAAAAAATCAAAATTAAATAATTTATAATTAGTAGTATAAGGAAAGAAATATGAGTGTGTAAAAGAGTCTTGCTTTCACTTTCTTGGCCTAGAGCAGAAGCTCCTCTAGAGGCCGTCCACCACTTAAACTCATTCAAAAACCACTAGCATAAAAGAATAAAATGGTGAAGCATTTACTGCTTTGCTATAGAAGAATGTTTAAGCTGAACAAGAAAAGGAAAATAATTTGCAAAGTTTCAATACTTCAAAAGTATGTGAAGTCACTTTGGAACCAAATTGTTGGTTGTTGTATAGGCAAATCCATTAAGTATAGGAAATTATCACGACAACATTCCTCTTCCACCACCACCACTGCCGCGCCGCCGTCTTCGCCGTCTGGCGGGGCTGTCCCCGACGGTGGCTTTAATGGGAAGTGCTATTGTGATCACTCTAAGGAATCTTTGGAGGATTTGGTTGCCTTGAAGATATGTCTCTTGGGTGATAACCAAATTGGCAAGACAAGTTTCATGGTTAGTGTTATAGTAATAATAATAATGTTTTTCCTTTTTTTTATTGGATGGTTTTAATTCTTTTTTCTTTTTCTATGTTGATTAAAGACAAAGTATGTAGGAAAGGAAAAAGGAGAAGAAAGTTTTTCAACAACAGGATTAAATCAAATGGATAAAATTCTGTGTGTTAAAGGGGCAAGGATCTCCTATAGCATCTGGGAAGTCCAAGGTAAATATGCATCCAACAATTTTTTTTGGTTCAGTTGTGAAAAGGGTAGCGAAAAAATAGGGAGCTAAATGTGCAAATATATGAATTTGACTGAAATGTTTTAGCTAGCGTTTGGACCTAAATTTAGTTGAAACTTGAAAAATGAGTTTTTGAAGATGAAATGCAAAATGATTTTTGAAAGTTGAAATTGTTTTTGGACATGCATTTTAACAGAAAAGAATTTAAAGTTTTGTGAGTAGAAAACTTCAAAAACTACTCCAGAGCTATTTTTGAGATTTGAAGATTTTGTTTTCAAAATCTGCCTAGAAATGGTTAAAATCTATGAGCAAACAGATATTTGAAAAAAACCTCCCAAATTCTATGGCCAAACGAGAAGTTAGAAATTTTCTGAATCCATGATAATAATAATGCAGGTGATGTGTCTGCATCTACTCAAATTCCAATAGCTTGTAAAGACTCTGTAGCAATGTTGTTCATGTTTGATCTAACAAGTCGGTGTACACTGAAAAGGTATCATATTTTTTATGCCTTCTTAATTTGAAGGAAAACAAGCGAGAGTATTATAAATTAGTTTTTGAACATCTTTTCTTGTCTAAATTGTTTTGCTGATCAATTACAGTGTTATTAGCTGGTATCAACAAGCACGACAATGGAATCAGGTAGAGTAATCTCTTGATTTGGATTTTCTTATTGTTAAATTGCTCTTCTAAAGTAAACTGCTTATGGTCTGAAATAGCTTTGTTCATTTCAGACGGCAATTCCAGTAATGATAGGGACAAAGTTTGATGATTTTGTGCAATTGCCATTAGATATG